GTTTCCCAGACAACATCTGGGGGAATTCGGTTAAGAAAGTCCAAGATGTATCCTTAACAAGCTTAGACAACACATTGTAGTGTGTGACAGTATGCACTCTATCAACCTCCTTTTCAGGGTACTCCGCATAGCATATATAGTCAAAGAGTAGAGTAGCATGATCACTACGACCCAGTGGTGTGCTTGTAACTATCCCGTCAACCATGAGTTCTTCGTTGGTTAGCACAAGGTCCAGTATCGACGGCTTGTTAGCAGTTCGAAATCTGGTGGGAGAGGTTACGTGGTTGTAAAGAGGGTGGCTAGCAATAAGCTCTTGCAAGCAGGCTTTAAACTGCATACCGTCGGTTGCCGGCGTTTCTATGTCGTGCACGTTAAAGTCTCCCGCGATAAGAATGTGGGTGTAGGACTTGTTCAAAGCAAACTGAAAAACGTGGTTCAGTTTGGAGTCCATTTCCGACGTAGAGTTTGGTGGGCGATAAATCACGGCTAGTAGACACATGTCCTTGTCTCGCAACCATAGGCGGCACCAAAGCGAATCGGGAGCTCGGATTTCCGGGTGATCGATAACTTCACATCGGAGGTTTGTATTATAGTAAAGAATCACACCGCCACCCCTTCCGGTTCTATCGGTCCGAAGCAGCGACATACCGGGTAAATTGATCTCAGAATCGGTTATCTCAGGGTTTAACCATGTCTCTGTAATCATGACGAGGTCCCGCGGTTGTGAGGCATGGAGTTCTCTAAGTTCGGCCAACTTGCTTAGAAGGCCTTGGGCGTTTGTGTACATGCAAGATAGGGCTTTTGTTGTTAGGAGTTCATTGATAGATGTCAAGTTTGTGTTAGTTTTTAAGCCGGCCGTTAGGTGGCCGGCAATTAATCGTTTTTTGGTTTATGTATTTCAGTCGTGTTGCATGGCATTATTGAGCGTTCCTGAACAGACGTTTCACTCGTGCTGTGCTCGGTCCTCCTGTGTGCCGTGGGCGCTGTTGTGTCGGTCTCTCCACAGGACTGTGCAAATAAAGAATTTGTTGCGTTTGCAAGTTCCATTGAATTGCTTCCGACTTTTGGTCGTTCGCCTGCTGCCTTTAGCCGGATCTCTGTTGGCAACCTAGCTCGAAACTTTAACCAGCTATCCAACAGAACTTGCGTCATTCCCTCGGAGTGAAGTATTACTTTCATTAGCCTTGGACCGCAGCCCTTGTAGTTAGGTGATGACGGAACTCTTGTCAGGGATTTGGCAATAACATTGTCAACAGAGAGTGCTTCGCGGATGTAGCACCACTGCTCTCGGTCATGTGTTTGTGCATCGTGATCAGAAGAATGCAGAAGCTCAGGAACACCATGAACAAATATTGTTTTCTTGCTATCCCTATTAGCAATGCCGCGTTGCTCAACTGCTTCTTTTGGGCGATCTTTCCAAGGTAGATCAGGTAATATGCGCACTCCGCTCGGTGAGTTGCGAAGACGAACTGCTGAGAGCAGGACAGCCTCTGTCTCATCTGCTGAGTTTAGTGTTACTCGAAGAATTCGAGGTTCACCAGAGTGCACTGAGGTCGGGTGACGCGCTACGCGTTGCAGCATTGAAGGCTCAACCCGAATGCCAATCGCCTCGCAGATGGAACTCCACTGGTTGCGATCGTCTTGCAACTTGCCTTTTATTGTGCCAGATTTGGATTCGGGAACATTGGTGCACACGAGAGTTAACGCAGCGTGGTTTTGTCTATCGAGTTTTGGCTTTATACTTTTTGCCGGCAAATCGGGTTGTTTAGAGGGCACCACTGGATTTGACGGTGAAAGCTGCTTTGCACCACGCGTGCTCGGTACTGAAGATGGACCTATGTGTGTCCCTCCCGGTGTGTTTGTCGAGGCGATCGATGCGTACGTTACCTGCTTGTTATCTGCACCGGATTTCCTTCGGCTCTTAGCTGTCGGTGTCATGGCTGAATCTCCAAGTGAAGCGGCTATGGTTGGAGAAGTGGAAGCAGGCATGTTTGAGGTTTGCCCACTTATGGGAGTGAGGTGACCCAGTGGATTTAGAGTCACAGACGCTGCAGTGCGGTTGGAGCGTCTAGCTCTCTTCTTCGGTTTAGACTCAGGGCTTACTTTGGCCGGGTGAGGTATTATCGTGGCCATATTTACCTCCGAGTGAGCGATCTTAGTATTTACAAATTGCGCGATTATTTCAGTCATCCTATCGCATTTTTTCATGAGTAAAGATAAACAGTTGACAACTGGAATGACTTGACATGTTGGGCAAAACCAAATTGTGTCAGCAACTTGGCTTGTCTGTCTCACTTCTTGGACGGATTTGCCTGCACATTGCGGACAGTACGATCTGATGCAGCTAGAACAGGTAATACTGATCTTAAGCACTTTACTGCAGTTGTCTGCGCAACATAGGCGACGTTGAACCATAGTCGTCCTCATTGTTTACAGCAAGGCCTGTCTAAGCGCTCACCTTGATGAGTGTACTTTGCGCTAGGGGTGACGCACGAATAGGTCAGAACACGCACACGAAGTGAGGGTTGTTCAACCGCACCAAGGTCAGTGCGGATAGGCAGATGGAGGTCGTAACGCGCAGACTGTCAGATTGAGCGATCAATCGACTCGCAGTGGTACACACACACATCCACACAAAGCGGCAGTGTGTGTTAATCGACCTGCATTAAGCGACGATGCAGGTGGAGCGCTGATAAGCGTCCCAAGAGCTGCTCAGTTGATAAGCGGAGCAAAAAGGCTGTAACTTTGTTATGCTGCAACTTGCAGGGATGGTTGCCGCGTAGTTCGGGAGCCCTCAACTTCTTCTTCCGAATGAGACCAAAATCTTTTCCGAAAGACTGGTTTGATGTAGTTACACAAATGGAATTCAACAAAGAATATGCCGAAAACTGGAACTGGAGCAAGGGTATAATCCACACAGGTTAGATCCAGGAGTTGGGAAGCACTGAGTAGAGCTCGTCAAACTGGTTCGAACGAGCGCACGCACAATATTGTGTTGGAAGAATTGGAGTGGCCACAGTGGGCAAAGCGAGAGACGAGTTAAAGTGCGGCCACACGGTAGGGTGGGATACAAAAGCCAGAACTCGGTAGACAGAGTATATCCCTACAGGATAGGTTAACTATTTATTGGTAACCGAAACATGCTAATTTAGGAGGTCAAAGCCGCTCACTATTCCGTGTCTGGTTCCCAGCCAGTGTGAGTGAGTTCCACTTCACGGGTTAATCATATTGACGGAATAGTTCGATTCCTTTGACGCGGGCTGGTATTTGCTGGTCGATCAATTCTCACTCGATTCCCAAATTCAGCTCCGCTTGCGTCCTGATTATATTTGTCTACACAACTCTTGCACTACTTTTCTGCTACAACGCTGTTTTAAAGCACAAAAGCCGAAAAACACTTTCCCACCATTCCATACGTTGGATACTCCCACTCGTAAGCCCTGTTATCCCAAGCCCAGAAACCAACTATGGTTCCCAACCATTAGTTCGTTTAAATAGGGGACGTTTTTGATTACGGCATGGCAGATAAACGTTTTGCACAGGTCATGAGCGTCGTTGATGGTGTTCCGTAGGAGATTCTGCAAACGCCATTTATAGAGCGTTAGGCAGAGCCAATGTCCAGATACGAGGTTGCGCGCGGGCTTACCGCGGAGCACGTGAGCTGTCTGCTGCATGTGAAGGTCATCAGCACGGATGTGGAACGACCTTCGACTGTTGCGCCAAATATGGGAATCGGGTGCGAGTTGATTGGCCAACAAATACAATTCCGCGTTAAAGGAGGCGAACCATTCTGCTAAATATGGAAAACCGGTGGGACGGAATTTATTCTCATTAGCTCAGTGGGTGGCCTGGGCTTCAATAATTAGTGTATCGTTCACCAATAAATAGAGTTGACCAATACTGTAGAATATACACTGTCTACCGAGCCTTGGTCTTTTGTATTCCTTCGGTTGGCTGGGCGCGTGGCTGAGTAGACAGACGAGCGCAGTCTCACAGGTGAAACAAAGTAGCAGTACAACAGCCATCAGAATCAGCACTCGTGAAACTGTTGCCTTTAGAAGTTAGAATTTCCGCGCCATTCCAGTACAGTATCTGTAAATATGCAATCAATCGATGTTTTACAATGTCATGCAGCAAAGCGGATGAGGATGAGAGTACGTTGTCATGTGTAAATAAATGGACACCCCGAGATTTTGCTATCAGAGGGGAGTAGCTACGGCGTGAAAGTAAAGGGAGATGCGCCAGACACGTTTGTAGCTTCCACTGTGTTCGTTTCATATTCGAATATTGTTCAATCGACGAGGAGACTCCTTCGTCCTATCGTTCAATCAGGACACAGCGGCGATATCACAGCCGATAATGAGTGCGTCTTTTTCCAAGTTTTACAACCACACACAATGATCGCACGCGCGTCACATAGACATATTACATAGCATATTGTCCCACTGTCTTGTTTTTGATACAATAATGGGAACCAGCTTTTTGTGCCGCTTTCCGGATATCCATATCGTAATGAATCGCCATTCGAATCTCTCCCATTAGCGAAAATGTTCTCTCCTCTGCGAATACGTCGGTCGGTGGCCGAAAGAATAAGTCGCATGTCTTGTACTCCGGAGATTGCCGGTTCGAATCTACGTCAAGTGCGCAGCCCAGGCGCGACTTCTAATAGTTGTGTGTCAGTGAAACGTTAGTGCGGTGTGCAGGTGTACTGCTGATGCCGTCTGCGAATGATATCCTTCCGCGAAAGCGGTTATCAAGAATTGTTCTAGTCATCCGGACTTCCCCATCCTACTTTATACCTGCGAGAATGGATCACCTATCCTGAAGTGATTTTCGCCCTGCACGAACGACATACGTTCGTCCAACGTTTGAATAAGTGTGTTCAGGTGATAGAGGACAGTATAATTAATCATCCACACGTGGATACATCGATATCACGGGTCAATGGACGTACTAAGACGGCATTTTATCCGATCACATTCTCCGAAACAAAACGCAAATGAAGACCAAACTGGTATGTGCATGTTAAAAAAATAATGGCATAACGCATACTAGAAAAACACAGAATATGAGGTTGGGACGCCTTGTTCGGGTAACGCAAAATGACACCCGTTGGTATTAGTTATTAGTGGCCACAAGAATATGATAAAACAACGTCAAGTGCGTTGACTCGACGAATTCGGCAGGGGTAAAACGCACAGAACGTAAAGTAGACACAGCCGAGTATTGATAGATATGCTTCGGGTTCATCGATAGGTTGAAGGATGTAGTTAGGCAAACTGAGAACCATCAGACGACGTCCTGTGTGTGTGATGTTTAGGAGAGGCTTGCTTCGTACTACTACCGAGATCAGCCACAAAATGGCGTGACATCGAATCCAGATCACCAATGAATGCCTTGGGAGTCAGCATATGTGTGCCACCAATAATGACTTCCCAGTTCCAACCAATACCGCCGCTACCTGATAGCACAGTTTTGTTGGATGCAGAAAAGCCGGTCCTCCCACTTGGATTTCGGTCGCTTTCTGCCAACCGGGTTTCCACACACTGTAAGGAAACAAATGGAATGTTGTTACACTTCACTGAGATCGTACAAGGACACACGAATTGTGTGTATCAGATGTTCTAGGTGCGCATGAGACCGGTGTACCTGGCTGTTCTGCCCCAACTGACCGAAATAATGCTGACGACGACAGGGAATAAAGTGGTCATATTAAGCAATAAAGGAGGAACGAATGCAAAGGCACCATTAAATTCATAAAAACCACTTGCGCCCATTGCACGCACCGTCGTTACTGAGAGCTGCGTCGGTCATTTGAGCTATTAGCTTACTATTGTATGACCATGGTGACCCAAGGAATAGAGAACAATAAGTGGGATAGAACGGAGGAACTAGCTAGAATATAAATGCTCTACCCAAGCTTTCAGGGGCAATCAGCCTACACCTTGTCGACAATATATGGTCCCAAACAGCTGGCTATTGTGCGAAGATAGCATTGGCTAGACAACTTCCTTGTAACCTTTATTATCCAGAAAGTTGATCAACTGTTACCCCGCAGATAACTCAGCATCAAACACACGTTTAACAGAGAGTCTGACCAGGAGACAACAGTAAACGCACCACTAGTGCTGGCTGCGAGCCATCTCCTGTAACGTCTGGAGGAACGATGGTCAATGACTAGAAGGCGCTTCGGGTTCTTAAACCGAAGAGACTGAGTCTCACTATCAAAGAAGGAGGATGTTCAGTGAGTGCTTGTATACACGGATCTTCAAATCGAGCGGAACTTCCTTCTGTCGCCACCGATGTCGTAGGTTTGGGAACGCAGTGCTAGCTTTCGCAGACACGTCCGTCGCTGTTGATGCAGTTGCTTAAATAGGTGTATTGGTCAATGGCCTCTTATTCATCGTCTTCAAGAGGCCCGAAGGCCTTCGCAGTAGATCTCAATAGATCGAAGAGTTACACAAGCCGTCGCACCAAATTAAGGCCCAGTATAGTCGCTACGGGAGATGCGATGATACCTAGAAGTGAATCGGGCGGACGGAAAAGCGACCAAGAGAAACTCACACTATGGTCCGTGGAGCAACGGGAGTTGAAAATCCGCCGAATGTGTACCGAGTTGGCAATGAGCAAACAAAATTAATTCAAACCGTTGATGTAATTTCGTGTTGAAACAATTGGATTGATTGAGCATTGCCGTGGTACTACTAAAATTATTGCACGCAATAATGTAGCACTCAATCGTGAGTCAAGCGCACCAAGTGTATACACCCGTACGCTTCCTATTCTGCCCGCCAAGTAGAGTAGTTCGTCGCTGTCCCAGTCACATTATCAATAACTGCTGCTGAAAAGGAATCGATGATCATCACGACTTCCCAGCAGAGTTCTTATCAATGAGAACAATTCAACATGGTGACTGTACGCTTCTTGATTAATAAATAATCGTAAACTTTGCGAACCGACTCCGTCTAAATGGATAGTGCAAACTTGGGCATCGTCGTCAACTCGTTCGCTTACAAAACTGCCTTCTATGTGGTTTGTACGAAAGGTGACGAGCAGGATTTGTTATGTGGAACCTGTTATTTCAGTCGACGAAGAGTTTTCAAAATGCGACAAATGACACAGAAAAGCCACTCAAGTAATGGCACTGGTTGTCCTAGACCAGTAGTTTTATGGAACGAACAAGAATGTAGGAAATAGAACAAATGAAGCAATACAGAACGGCGGAAGATTTGCAGACACAAGTTCGGGGGCCTTGTTCAAGTCGACGCAGTCAACACATCGATCCATGGACGCACCTCCTATAAGTGACTAATTTGCGACAACTGGTTTTCGACGTGTGTGTCTACGGAAACGATGTTCGAAAGCCTCGCAGAATACGGATTTCGGTCAGCGAATACCAACCAGTCTTTGCAATAGGTGTTGTAGATGGCGGCTAGGAATACCGGTAAAGACTACCACTGGACATTCCTATCAAAGGGTAGCCTGATCTTCCCCACATTAAAACGCTAACTCATCCCCGATACGTCGGCTGGGTTAGGGCAAAAATGACTTATTCAAACATAAAACTCACCTTTTGTGTAACCTGATAAGCAACCCTGGACTCTGACCACGTCACTCCTCCTGCAATGAAGACGATGAGTCTGGGACCACAGTGTTCTGTCTTCTCTCCTCTATCCAATGCTCCTGTGGATTGCTGTACTGCCGGCCCAGATCCATATGCATCTCGAGAATCTTTTGGATTGGATGCATCCCGATTGGGTTGAAAGCGAGCCGACGGACCGCGATGACTTACAGGCGATTGTTCAGAAACATCAGTGTGGAGGTGTGTATCTGCTCTTTTATCCGTCACAAAAGCAAAATGTCGTTTGTCGAGGCTACCCAAAATCGTCTCCTAAAAATGTTTCAGGAACAATTTCATTATACGTAATTAGCAAGGATGTTGGGTATCTTCGGTGCGGGTATTAATGAATCTATTTGGTTAGAGAGGAAATCGGTGGGCGAATTCATTAAACTAACAAAGTGATAAAAAGCCAAATAAAAGTCTTTTTTTATCCGCGCCCTCTTTTCGACGTTTGTACTCATTATGTACATTCGTTCCATGGTTCCATGTTTATTATTTACACAGTTGCTAGTATACATCAGTTGAAACCTCAGAACACGTAGAAAGTGACAGACGGAGTCAAATTGAACGTCCGCGGGAGGTTAAACTACTATCTGGCCAATAAAGTATCATTTCCGTTTTCTGGTCAAAGTGCGATGGTCTACCTCGATGAAACAACAGTTAACGGAGACAGGCAACGAAAACCTTTGCATAAACAAGTGGAGTCCCACTAACAAAATCTGACCCCAGTACATCTATCTGCCATTATCTCTGAAGAACACGAATGTGTGGAACTGCATAGCTGGAGGCATCCGGTTCCGGATTTACCTGTCACTGTGGCCTCCATAGGACAGCCACAGGACGCATGCGTCTACAGAGGGACCATGGGTGGCTTGTGCTGCACCACCCACACACCCCATATCCAGTGTAAACCCGAAGGAGACATGTGGATGGGGGCCACATTTCGTCAACGGAGCCGGCTCACACAAACAAGAACAGCAGCAACAATGTCTATATAAGGAATCATGTATAGCAGACGTACACAAGGCGGTGGCTGGACCGTAGTCCGCTCCACACTGGTTGGAACCAGTCTTTGAACCTAGCACAGTCACGAGGACCCCGGTCACGTGCACCCCGTCCCTCTACAGCAATGACTAATTGTCTCCTGGAGCCAGCAATCGAGGTGGAGGGTGTTAAACAGGTAAGTACGTTGTCAACATGCACATCAGGTGCGGCCGCACCGGGGATATCAAACAACAAACACAAAATTTAAAGCAAAACAAGCACGCAAAATTGACACGGAATATGCAGCAGGATAGCAGAACTGAGCAAATAAGTTTAAGTCTAAGTCTGTGTAGCCCAACTGCGATGAAGATGTACGCAACGTCAACCTCACAGCATGGTACACAATGTAGCACATAGCATATATATTAGCACCTCATTTGTTGCAGGGATTCATCTACAATTCTGTTAATGATAGCGGATTATGGGGCGTAGAACCGTCAAAACAGACATCGCACCAGATAGTGTATTGACCGAACGTCAAGTCACATGAAATAGGCAAGACAGCCGACAATATAAGGTAAGAGGTTGTGTCAGACAGACCGTGTCGCATAGTCGGCGGCCTGATACATATGAGCCACAGTAGACTATTGAGTGAGAGCGAAGTTCATGGCCAGAGGTGTGGGACGAAGTACTTTGAATGCATCGGATCGCCTGGCGTATATCCCCCTTTGAAGAACGTTCTCCAGACTCGTAGGAATGAAATGCTGGGTTTATCTGTAAACGTTGGATCGGTTGAGTCGTCCGTATGGGTCTCCGAGTCACTCCTTGGCTCACTGAGCTCCACAGCTTTTGGTAGCTCCAACGTGTATAACAGTACGTCGAACAGCAACTCGGAAGTGAAAGAAATTGTATGTTCGATCCATCATTTGCGTAACTGATTAACACTTACAAGAAACGAATTCCTCGGAGATAAATTGTGAACCGTTATCTCAAATCAAGGTGTTTGGTGAACCGAACTGTGCAACTAACGGTTGTAGTTTTCGTACTGTGAAAGCTATCGTGACCGCGTTCATCAGGTATATGTCCGACCACTTGGTGTATTCATCAACCACAATTAAAAAACCCTAACCTTGCGCTGAACCAGCGAAATCAACGTGAATTCTCTCCCAAAGCATCCAGGATTGGATGATTTTGCTTGGAAGTTTCACTACTGGGGCACAATTGCTACATGTGGCGGCACAATCATAGCTTATTAGTTGCTTCAAGCGATCGAATTCGTCGTCAACTAACTTAAGAGAAGCATACGGCACCGGTCTTTCGGGTCAGAAAACATGCTTTGTGCCATCTTGCAAATAAAAAATGCCGTGAATTTGGTACAGCAGCAAAGTGTGGGGTTAAACACCTCTGGGAATTGCTTCTACATATCGTCGACGATCGCAGAATTGAGCGCTGCGTGGCATTGTGATGACGAGTCCGGAGCTTATAGACTATCCTCGGTTGGATCGCACACAGATTCCAGAGGAACACTCCACAAGTTCAATCCGATTCATACCAAGTATACTTAGTACTGGGTTGTCAGTAAGGTAACAGAGGCCAGTACGATTATCCTTTTTGTAACCCTATTCACAGGAAAATTTGCTATGTAGCTGTAGACTACTGTTCGATACACTCTGCGGTGTTTTCCGCATTGCGCAGTATCGGTCTGCCGACAGCCGACCATATCGGGCTGGAGATGATGGTAATGTGAGATGCGGTATCCAGCTGTAAGCGCACTGGGTGGCCATTTATAGTCACAGTGAGAACTTACGAAGTGAAAATTATCCTTCCGGTGCAGTTGCATAAACCACATTAAACTCCCATTTGATTCTGCGTTGCTGAGACGGTTTCGACACCCCCACAATAAAGACGACGTGTGGTCAATCGGCAATGTGTTTCTCTATAGCCTTTATTGTGACAGACGATGCACTGGTGATTAATGAACGGGCAGTTTCTGGCAAAATGTCAGGCACCACAATTCCGCATAATGTTATATGAACATCTATCCGTATCCGGGTAGAAAGTGTATCAACCATCGCGATCTCTGATTTTAGTTGTCTTGACTGCAATATTTGTGAGTCACTTTTTAAGTTGACCAGAAACTGACACTGCAGTGACGTTCTAAATGGTGAAGTTTGGGGATGAGTCCAGTTTGGATAACAGATTTGTTCTGATTTTTTGCGTTCGATACAGAAGTGAAACTGGGTACAAAAAAATGAGTGACTTGAACTGATCGTCTGTAAGTTGTTGGCGCTTGAAACGTTCCCACGAATGGTTCACTCTACCTGCGTAGGAAACATAATCCTCCGATTGATTGTTAACCATCTTCAAACAGACAACGGATGTTAAAAATTGATGACCTCTCATCAAAAATAAAAGCGAGGACATTGAGTCTTCTGAAAATCGCAGTCGTTAGAATGTTTCAGTAGAATAAGGTTACAGTACTTGTTGTGTTCATTTGCACCCACCTTCCGTAACAACAGTCGTGCTTTGGCCGCATCAATCAAAAAGATGTCTTTATACCGTCTGTGTCAGGTTTCGAAAATGATTCCGTTCTGCGCGTCAAGCTGGAAGTCTTGCATTCCGTTTGCTAACGCTCCAGCTGAAATGGACTTGGTCTTCACTGTGGTAGGTGTTAGATTTAGTGATGAAAATTTATCTGTGTGATTGGAACAACGATGTTTGTCTTTGCTCTTTTTGAGGCATAGCCAGCTGTTGCTGCTGGATATACTCTTGCTGTTGCGGTAGTAATTGGATTAGCTGTGCATGCTCAGGGATCTCCGTCACCAGTGTTATGATCGCGGTTGATAGGGCCTAGAGCCGTCAAAACAGACTTCACCGTACCGGACAATGTATTGATCAAGCGTCAAGTCAGGTGAAACAGGCAAGACAGACGCCAATATATATAGCCGATAATAGGTTTAATTGAGAGGGTGTGTCAGACAGCCTATCTCGCATGGTCGGTGGCCTCATGCACATAAACCACAGCAGAGCAATGGATGAGGGTGACCTTCGCGGTCAGACGTGTGGGACGACGTTGTACTTTTAAGGCACCAGATCTTCTGGCGTAACAAATCCCCTATAAGATTACATTATTGGTGAAAATACGGCATACCTGTTGTTCATTCTCTCGCACCGTCGAAAAATAAAAGATTAATTGTTTCAGGTACTACAAAATGCGGTGGTTCCAAAAACTACTATTTCAGCCGCCATGGTAGTAAACCGTAATGCTTAGTGAAAAGAGATCACAAAACGCGCTACATTCTGCAAATGGAAAAGGTAGCGGTCGGATGTTGAATGAAACTTCCAACCACTAATGTGTCCGCGATCCCCAGAAAGTCGGCAAGTAACAACACGGGTCAGCATCCCACATCGACTGGCTATCACTAGTCTCTGAGTTGGTCAGACGAAAACCAGTATGTGAACAACGTGAACTAGGCCACGTAGAAGGTAGGGTTCAGCAGACGGTCTGATAGACGAAGGCGTTAGCAGTACTTCGTATAGACGCCTTGCTGTTAAGCGATCACCGCCAGTCGCTCACAGGCTGGAGATACTAAGAGGTCGCCTGCACGTACGCAAACTCAAACCGGAGACCCGTGAATTACAAGAAAGATGTCTTGGCCACCGGTAGGCCGAGGTGATATAAGGTGTTCTCAAATTCCAGGTGTCGGGAATATCACACGCTAGGTGGTACTGGTAGCCTCTTAATATCTTCAACGCGGAGTGGTTGTGTCTAATCTGTACACCAACACAGGTCGCACTGAATACTTTAGATGAGCTGACATCTTTCATTCTTCATGAGTGGTTGGGGTGTAGAAAAGCGACGAAGGTACAGTAAGTTCCCCGGTGATTCCACTATCAGACGTGATGTGGCCATATAGATAAATGACCCAAACAGTTACCTGGGTAGTTTTTCGCCGAAGCGGTAGTGTGTCAGACCAACATTTTGATACCTCTTGGATTTTGGAGGTGTCAAACACATTTTCTGGTTGACAGTGGTATGCCTTGGTATACTCAGAAATGCTTATACAAGAGTTGGATCCGGTCCCCAAAAAGCTCCGTCAACATTCATCGGTCGCATAAAGGAACTTCCAATTCACAAGGAACAAACAGAACTGCATCATTTATGGTCATCAAGTTAAGAAGAATAAATAGCGCAACCTTACAGCATCTGATTTAAAAGCTCAGGGTCTTCGGTAGACCAAAAATGGTATGGGGGTCGCGATAGAGATCTCAGAAAGAAAGGAATTTACCTGACTTGGCCTTCAAAGATAGACAGGACACTCCGTCGATTGCTGTGATCGGTGGTAGTACAGGCATCTGCCACGGATAGAGAATACAACCGTACGTGTACACACTCGGTCATTGTCATGGAATGGGCACCGCACATCAAGGTGCCACATAAATAAGCAACTTGATAGTTGCTATTGAGGCTAACAGAATACGACGCTATCCTAACATTTAGCATCTGGCGAGTTGTCTGGAGTACTACTGTAAGTTAAGAAACGAGGTTGCGTCTGCCCCGCACTTTTATTCAGAAAAGCTGAAACAGAAAAGCCTATGAGGGTCCACTGGTTCAGGTGCTGGGTTCGCAATCGCTGACCCCAAAGTTTGAGACCCTGTTCCAGCGTGGGTTTGTATCTCAGCCCCCGTACAACCATTTGAGGTTGCGGGTCGGAGATAAGTATCGGTACGTGGTAATAGTGGACTGCTTCTGGCTTTTTTGATTGAGAAGTCGGGGCTAGATGTTACTGTTAATCACCCAGTAACAGAACCTACACGTCGTTCAAGAAGGAGAAGAACGTGGCTTCTGACACGTTTGCCGCATATCCGTGTTTACCTTTCCTGAAATTGTGCTCAGGACACCACTATGGCCGAAATAGTAAGAAGTGTTGTATTGGAAAACCTGGCTTTTTCCCAGTGCCGGTATACCGTAACGTACCACCGTACCCCTAGAATATCATCAAAATTATCATTTCTCGATATTATAGACTTTTATGTTATAAAGGAGCGCTAGCCACTGCGTTTTTAGCTTTGACCAGATCTACTCGTATTCTGTCAAAAGCATTTCTTACCATTCAAGAAGGCTGTCTAGTTCCAGACACGGGGGACATTTATCGGCAGCTCACTTTTGGCACAACGATAACCAGGTACCAGTTTTCTTTTCTATCGGTTTGAGTTTTCAGACGTATTTATTGAGGTTCATCAAAAGACGAACGTTATGTGTGGGACCATGGGCTATATCGATCTTCAGCATGGAGTAATCGACGGCTCAAGTCACTTTGCTTACCGAAGCTCAATCGATTTGTGACTCTGCTGGACGCATCTCCAAGGTCGTGAACAATTTCGCTAAGTGGCAATAACCAGTTGTTTTTACCCGCCCAAATTGGCATATTTTAGTCTACAATTCGGTCGACACAACGTGGCTATCTTGGAAGCCTAGCACGTGAATGTCAAACAGAACAGTATCACCTGTAGCAGGAACAGGAAACTAACCTCGAGAATGTCCATCAGATAAGGCGTCCATCTGGAGAATGCATATGAATTGGAGTCTACACGGTCCTTCCGTTTGCCTTTTGTCGGAAGAAAGGTAAGTGCAAAATCCGATACCTTGGCAACCGGTGGAAGGCGTAGAAAGCTCTCAAACTGAGCAAACCTGATCTTCGGATCCGAAGAATTACTGCCATAGCCACTGCTGATGAAAGCTGTAGACTGAGAAAGAATGATAAGTGGAGAAGCTGACTTTACAACCTATGAGGAAATCGAAAACACAAGCGTTATCCAATAGGATCTCTTATACAGGGACAAAGCTGTAAGCCAGGACATAGTTGTCCATAGAATAGAACGCTCTAGTCATATGGTTCATGTGGAAAGCATCATTTGTCACTGGTAGATGAATTTCGATAAGCTAATCGATTCATCCTTACGGTTCGTACAGATCATCGTGTTTTGTTGGACCAGAAAATCCTCGCCTTCCGTTCACGAAACTGAACTCATCGCTCTGGTATGACTCCTGGGAGTTCCCACTACGAAAATGTCCACCTTTGAATTAATGCTGATGGTAACTGCCGTAGAAAGACTAAGTCACGCATCTATCCTGATTGCGCTAGAACAAAGACGGAATCCCAAGTATCATACCTGATCCCGGATTAATGAGGACTTAGTGCACTCTACCTGGGATTTTTGCGAAGTTACTTGGGTTTCAACCTGACTACATATTCGTATTTGAGACGAATGCCTTTGAAAAAAGTTCCGGATAGTACGATTCAGGTCAGATGAATGTAGAAGCCTGGATGAGCAATACGCACAGGATGGTAAAATACGTGAACCTTTTTGACGAGTCACGTTCGCTGTGCTCAGTGACAGAAGACAATGAAGAATTAAACGAGTGTAAAAAAAGCTGAAATCTCGGGGAACTGCACGGGTTTTAGGTGCGCAACGACCAAATTAGGATGAACGGAAGACTGGATGCACTGCGGTCTGTAGCAAAACGCGTCTAAATGTCGTATCAACTGCTACAAAAAGAGCATTATCTAGCTCGTTCAGTGCGAACATCGGCTAAACACTATTCAGTGAATGAAGACAGTCTTGACCAGCACCGCTGTTTGGGTAGGTTATATGTTTGAAAACTATTTAGGACAAATGTGCCATGATGATAAACGGCTTGTGTCGTTCCAAGGCTCAGCCATATTTGCGAAGTCAATATGCTAAATTTAAAATCGATAAACTATGTTTGTATCGGCCAATGCGTCGACTATTGGCCAGTGAGAAGGCGTCAACATGAGCTACACGCGTTGTACGAGGTCATGTTTGATCAGATCAGGGTAACCCGTTTCCATCCCACACTGCTGCCACGCGCTGTACGTTGGTACGCGTCGGTGTTTTCGCTGTAGGGCAAATGAGCTATTTCATCGGGAACAACGCTGATCGGAGAGTGTAAAGCCCTCGCTACAAGCTGTCAATCAAATGATACAAATGCAATTCTAGATGGGAGGTCTCATGAACCGCACGCCAGATGTCACACGAGAAGCATCACACTCATGCAAGTGTGGTGTCCCGCTGCAGTAGTCGCACCTAGGTGTTATTCTAACAAATTTGCAGAATAGATAATCCTTCGGAATGACGATAGTACCATTTTTGTCACTGAAGTCCCCGGGCTAAGCTGCGTGACGTTCCGATAAATGGCGATTTGGATCTCTCCATAAAAGCTAGGGTTATCACATTCATACAGAAAGTGCATTGTCGCCTTTCGCACTCGACGAGCCAAGAATTTTGGATGAAGATTCATACTATGGTTTGTACGGAAGTAAGTAAACTGGTATTAATCCAGCCGAATAACATAGCGACGAATTATTAGAGCGTCATTTAGAAGTACATGTTGTGTGATTGGACTTCGACGCGCAATTTCAATGTGGAACACGATTCCCATTGACCTGAACCTTGGTCGATTCGATCACTGGGAACGTAGCTGATGAGGCCGGAGGAAATTAGGTGGTGCCCGCCCGAAAACACTGCAATCCACTACGCGTTTCTACCGTGTTCGATCTCATCAGGCAGAGAACACAGGCCTCGAACCTAGGACCACTGGGATTTTGGTTATGACCGCTACCACTAACCACCGGCTCAAGACAGGCAACGCTTGGAGCAACGGTTAATGATTCACTGGAGGGTCATTTTGAAGTACACAAATTTTTGATACTTTGTTCGTCAGCAAGTTTGCTTGTATGTACAACATCAGAAATAGTGGAAGACGACGATTGTAGGCTCACTTCGGGTTGAATCAGCTGGGCACCAAGCACAAAAGAAAAGCTTGCAAACAGAAATTTGTTGAGTTCTTCCACGTTGGTTGTGCTGAGAAGTTTGTCCAAGTGGTTTTCGGATATACCATCTGCATGTGTGAACAAAGGAAAAAATTAAGCAAAGGCGCCCGGATAAACGAATTGCTCATGCTACCCATCGTTGAACGAATCGGCACTGCAAAACTAGCAATGACTGCGGGCACTGCTGCACATTGGTCATCGAGTGCGAGCTCAGCGTTATTGGGGACTCACCATTTACGGGCTCACTCTTGTGATATCTATACCGACATTGGGGCTCACAGAGGCAGACTAAGTCCTCCACTTCGATGACTCAGTGAGCACAGAAGTGAATGTGGAACGTCAGTTCTCCACTGCATTCATATAACACGACGCTCTTTTAATCAACATTCCATTCATGTACCCGTCAATTCCCTGTAAAAAGCCACAAAAATGTAACGAACTGAGGACCGCTTAACTGTTGAAGATGCCGCCTGGAGAAACCGAATCCGGGTAAATTTAGACAGGTTCAGTGAGGTGAGGTCATAATTCAGAAACGGTACGCTGGTGGAATTTTACTAATGTTTGGAGTCCTTGTGTGAAAAATTCACATTTTTATCTAAGATCTACTCTGTTACAAATCTTTGGCGGGAAGCTGTCTCAAAGAAATGAAGTGTCTAATTGAATGAGAAACAAGCCTACATATCGGTTCCAGACCGAATACTGCAGTCCAGAAACGGAGTTGCATAACTCAGCAATGAGAGCCAGAGGACTGAGTAAGAACGGCGCTAGGGATAAGCAGGCTGTGCATTGCGGTGTCCACTGCGCCATCAAATTAATCGTGCGCTGAACCAATAGTCTCCTCTGTAGGATCAGTAAGCAGTGCCTGCGACAGGAGCTTCTGTCAAGAAGTTGGCCCGCAACAGGACACAGAAAAATAGTGAAATAGTTGTTCCAAAAAAGGGTTAATATGAAAAGTCATTCCCCAGCGCCAAGGGATAAATGGGTGTGGACATTTCCGGTATGAGAAATTTTGGGTAGTAGTGTGTTTGGCGGCAAGACAACAAACTTTGTTTCGGATAGGGAAACAAAATGGCTGATCCCAAACAAATCGGCACACGGATAATTGTGGACCCAATAACAGTAATCAAATAGATTGCAGAGAAGGAACGTTCAGAAGTTCATCGATAGGAAACGACGAGGAAAAAGTGGTTTTAAGGTATCGCAGGTTCGATAATGGACAAAATACCATGTACGTAACGAAAAGTATGCGCTGATAAATTGGATAGCGATGAAAACCGATTGGTGATAATCCGCAGTCACAAACGACACACTCGGTCTGTCTTATGCGGGAAAGGGAATAGGTGTCGTTGGTCGGTGGGTAATATATTATAGGCAGTAATGGGATGTAAAACAGCGGGTCCCCTTCAGCCATTTCGTCAGCGCAGTGAGAAGACATAAGTTGCGATATGTCAACATTTCGATTGTTCTTATCAGTCGCAAACACAATACAAGCGGGATTCGTAGACAGTTATATACAGGGGAAAGCCTTGTTCTTCATAAGCGTCAGAGCAACTCATCAGTCACTTCGACCTCTCACGTCGTTTACCAGTTCACCTGTGGTTGCGATGACATTTACATAGACAGGACTGACCGTCAGTTAGCTCAGGGGATAGCTGAACATGTGCCGAGGTGGTTGGAGCAACTGATGACGCAATAAAACAGAGTGGATCCGAGGATGTACCGGAGTCCCGCATCATCTATCACCAAGCATCACTTGGCAACCCGACATCAGGTGAACCCGGAGACTGCGTTCAAGGTGTTATTACGCAACAACAATCCGATTACCTTGGCAATTAGTGAGGCTTTGGTAATTAGGGCTTATCAACTTGTGTTATGTGCACAGAAACTATTGAGACATTCAATTAGGTTACCGTGGTCTTGATTATGACATTTTGATTGGTGTGTCAACTTTTTCCCTGTATATAACTGTCTACGAATCCCGCTTGTATTGTGTTTGCGACTGACGAGAACAATCGAAATGTTGACATATCGCAACTTATGTCTTCTCACTGCTCTGAAGTAATGAAAACTGGATGAAGTTGCAACGTTCCCAAATGTTTACAAACGCCGCATGAAAACAAAATGTGATGTTCGTCTGGCGCTGGCACCGCAGCATGTAGAGGCGCAGACCGTCGACAACGGTCTTCGACTAACACAGTCGAGTCGATCTATACCATTTTCCATTGAAGTTGGACATTCGGGCAAAACATTTACGCCTGGGGGTCAACGGGGTTGCTCCTCCGGGGCAATCAAGTTGACTCTTCGTTATGCGGAATAGAACCACTCACTGGCATGGTAGGGGCTGTTTCATTGGCCAAGCGTCTGAGGTCCTATTTGCTGAAGGCGCTTGGCCAATGAAACAGCCCCTACCATGCCAGTGAGTGGTTCTATTCCGCATAGCGAAGACTCAACTTGGTTGCCCCGGAGGAGCAACCCCGTTGACCCCCAGGCGTAAATGTTTTGCCCGAATGTCCAACTTCAATGGAAAATGGTATAGATGGCGAATTGCGCTCCTTGACTCAAGATATTGCCTACATGCGCAGTGGGAATATGATGGGAGAACCGAAACGCGAAAAGACGCCAGTACGGAAGGCATCTTATGCTTCCCATTCCACATTTGACATTGTTTGTCTACTGATGTAATAAGTGCGACGCGCGATTGACACATCAGTATCGTTGATAGTTCAAATGAATCAAGTTATGGGTGCATTATTGCTCGTAGGTAGCGGAAAGAGTCGGCGGAAAAAGCGTGTCCCGTTGATGCTATCACAGCTTGTGATAAAAATCAACCCTTTGCTGGTAGACGTTTATCTTGTCCCAGACGGCCTAGCAGTAGCTAGTCTACTTAATCTCTCATCTTTATCCTTCTAATGCGAAGACTATTGATGGAACAAGGTGTCTGTCTTGTAATGCGCAGGTCATCGGTTCGAATCTGAACAGATGCGAGTGAGCTTGCAGCCCGCGCGCGACTGGTAATGGTCACATAACAGCGAATTATCGGTACGGCGTGATGTTGAGGCTATTTTATCACTACCAAATACAAATACACCAGCTATTACGATAATGGTGAAAAACGGACTGAGAAAGAATAATCCAGAAGAGTTGGAAATGCTGTATGAACGGAAGAATAATAAATAATAATAGTGTGTCGTCAGCTGTACGCTGTAACATGTCAAGTCAATACAGGCTTTATGCATCCGAAAGGATGCATTTTCAGCATTTTACAACAACAAATGCGGATAGATTAAAATGGAAAATTTAAAAATGCAAATTTATCGATGGAAATATTGACAACGGGTGCATAGATATCATCCGAATATGGTCCCGTATATATATGCAATAATTTTCGTTGAAAAAGTGGATCATTAGCATTTTATTTCTAGTGAGGTTGCAGTGTTGGATCCCAGTCTTTCAATCGGAACGATGGTTATTTAAGTTATAAAAACGACTGTGATAAATTTACGTGTAACACGCGCAGCGTCTCAAAGCACGTCCTAAAAATCAGCGCAATACAGTGCTAGTGATCTTGAAATAGTATAGCTGAAGAAATGTCAGTACTATCCTGTGAAGACTGGTGAATCTGCGGCAGATAAAGTAAGAAATGTGTTCCAGTGAAATGATAATGGTCGAGTTAAAGGCCCCACCGGCGCTTCGCTGCAGCGCTACCACCACCAGTCGCGCGTGTGCTGAGTATACTCCGAGAACGCTTGCCTCCACGCGGATTCGAACCGGTGGCCTTATGATTGCAAGCCAGGTGTGCAGACCACTCGGCCACTGGTCGACGATAAATAGTCCCCATGAGAACCAGTGGAAAAAGACAATTGCGAATAGCTGTATGAGGACAAGGTTTACGCACAATGCAAAGAGGAAGTAGACAAAATCAAAAGTACTTGCACATGAAAGGTAAAATGTGCCCCAATTTAAGGCGTGATGATATATATATGATGATATGATATGACATATTAGTTGCTCACAACGAATCATAGTAATCCACTGAGAATGACAGGATGCGCGTGATGAGTGACTATGCTGATGGAAATGGTCAGTTGATATAATCGTTAAAAACAGCAATAAACGAAGGATTAGAACATAAAAAGACGTGAATGAAATCAAAGACAAATCAAAGACAAACCTTTGATCAAAGTAAACAGCATTAGCATTCGCAGGCGGTCGTCTCGAGATGCGAAATCGTACTTCACAAGTTCGGATATCAAACGCATTGCGTCGCGAACGGGCTCACCCTGTGCGTTCTGTCCCATGACCAAGTCCTAACGATGAAGCAAGCGAGAGTTTCACCATCAATTCAGCACTTGCAAAACACATCTAATCGGTTAAAACGTAGCACCACACTTCGGCTATAGATTGATTGAGGAGCGCAAGTTGCAAAAAGGTATTGGAAGTAATTCGAACTAGATACACGTTAATCGTTAGCAACATTGCAATCGTACTTGTTAGCGCTCATCAGAATAGCGACTTGACCTATAGTGGAAGAAATTGCCGACTAAACACACAGGAGGTTGCATCACCAAGCAACTCCAAACTAAGCAACATTATATCATGAACTAGTTAACTGTAAGGCAGCACCGGTGGAAAAGGGCGATTAACATGCGGATATGTGAACTTTACAGGATCGCGTGTGCAAACTTTTAAGGATGAGAATATACAAAGAATTTATGGCCTCTTTGTGTCGACAATTAATTGTCACACCATCGGCCGCAAAGGGGGTGGTGAAGTAAACGCACACAATTTGTAGCACCGAAGCACGGTACACCCAGGGTCAGATAGAACAGAAAGCGGTGGAGAAACCAATTCCATCAATCGATAGAGAATGTTTTACATACCAAAGCTTACATATTTGTTGTCAATCAGCAAGCACGAGGAGTTGGCCAGAAAATGAATGCACGAACCAGTGATAGTTTATGCGATATCTCGTAACAATTGAACGGTGTAAGAAAATCACTTGGGATGGATCAAAACAGTGGCGATTTTGCAAGTGTTTTAGACATCTCCCTGATGAAACGCTGCAAAATCAGGTTGCGCGAAGTTATTTTGAAATTAACGGCCAAGCTGAGACACACGAGCAGATCCCCCACCGTGCATTCAAAGGTACTAGTATTTTCCGTGAAACAGCTCCGCGCAACTTCAATTTACAGCTGTCAGTACAATCCCATTCGCTAACTCGCCACCTTTTCATGCAAGGACAAACCAATATGACCCACACTGCCAACACAGCGCCAACCCGTCACCATCATCAACAGCATTACATCAGCCATTTGAGCTGATGCTTCGCTGTCGTATAACCATGTTGGTGTAAGGAACGAAGAAGAATAACAGGGAAGGGAACCTAGCTTAAAACCTTAATGCCCTAAGCAAACATTCACGATCAAGACGCCTACGCTTTGTCAACAACGTACCATCACAAACATTTGGCTATCACGCAAAGATAAAGCGACATCGACGAGATAGCTTTCTAGAGGCTTTCACTGCTCGCATTATAATCAGCTATTACCCTGTAGACAACTCAGCACCAAATACATTTTAAACAGGAAGTCCGACTAGAAAACGACAGCAGATACACCACTGGTGCCAACTACGAGCCATGCTCTGTAACCTCTCAAGCGAAGCACAAGGCGAGTCACGTGGACTCCAGCCCGGAAGGCGAGACGGACCAACAGAACCGTGGTCACCAGTGACCACATTTCTCGCTGACAAGTTAACTTGCCCACCTCGGGCCTTGCGCCACCCTACATATGGGAAACAAAACAATGCCCTCTTCAGCAAGTGGTGAACAGGCATGCATAGTACGTGCCCAAGCCAACGTAACTTATTCTTGAAAGTGCTACGTCCAACGAGCCATACGGCGCTACTTATTGTGAATCATGGTACCCGCGCTGTCTCTGGTTGTCTCACTGACGCCTAATTCCCTGAGACCAGTGGTACGGATCAGTTGGAAGAGCTTGTTCCTGTTTCCTACGTCTCCTGAGCCTTACTGGTTCACTAGACTTCCAAGTCAGTACGCAGGCTCCGCTTTAGTTCGCGCCTAATTGCCCGCCTAGTTACATTGCGCCTAGAGCCAGCCGAAAGTTTTCTTCTGGATTTCAACAGGTTCATAGACCTCTCGGATATCCAGTGGTTGCTGCAGTGACAGTTGGTAGTGTCGCAAGCCGAAGCTTCCGCACGGTGAATGGTGGTCGAGATTCTATTCCATTGAAGATCAGCATTATTAGGACGAGAGAAATTTCGGTACGCCGGAAGATTTGTTTGACAGAGGACTGAGATAGCTTCCCGATTTCCAATCGAGAGAGCCGTTTGGTACGCTTATCGTTAAAGTTTATGGAAAAACTACATAGTACCAGAGCATGCTCATCGTCGATGCAAGTACTCCAGAGCGAGTGACAGCCCAGTATGAAAGCACGCCACCTGTAACTTATGGCAACGTGATTAATTTAGGTCCATTGCTGGCTAGCTGCAGAGGGACGCTACGTGATACCTGGGCGCCCAGTGTGTCTGAAAGAAGCGGTGCTACAAAGAAACGGCTGGTGACCAGCACACAGTTGTGACAGACGCTCGCCGTTGCCCGTCCGGTCGGAGTTCAATCCATACAGACCACCTAGCTGAGCTTCTGAAGAGCGCAGAGGACCTAATGCGCATTCATATCCCTTACAAGAACTAGGATTTCTGAATTGGTAGCAATGCGAAGCAGTGCGTTGAATTCGTGGTATAAGGCGTCTTTTGCGGCAGCAGAACTGTGGTCGGTGACAGCATAAACCGAATCCACCATGTCCAGTACTGCTACGTGAATCAACCTAACTTGGTGTAGTCAAATGGACTGCACACAAACGGTTGTGCACAGGAATGCCATCAACGAAATACCCCCTAGAACTGAGAACAATGCCCACTCCAGTTTGACCAATGGTTGCCGCGTCAGCGTCTCCGGATGTGTTCAACCAATAGTGAGAGGACGAACCAGGCGCAGCCAATTCAACAACTCTGTGAAAATCACTAATCCTAACTTCGAACACACAACACAAGTCAGTACCCAGCTTGTCTAACGCGCGTGTGACTGTAGCCTGTTGAGCTATTTGTCTTAGAGTGTAAACGTTGAGCGCCGTCAGGGAAACGGGACAAAGTGGCCTTATAAGGAGTTGTTGGCGCCTGGCGTCCAGTGAGTGGTGCAGGAAGACAGAACTGGAGTGGCATTACGGCTGTCGTCAATTAAGTTGGGAATTACGTAAGGAAGGCTGATAATGAGGACTGGGAAGGAAATAAGAGAACAGGTGGAAAAGAAAGAAGAGGCGCCAGCAGTAGCATGTTTTCGCTTATCCGCCATGCTGTGTGCTGCAAATAAGGTGACTCTTGATAAGCTGCGCGGCGGCCAGTGCAGGATGAAGTTTATGTTTGGAGAAAATGTCATGGTTGTATGTGGGCTGAGATACTGACCAGACCGATACATGAGGACGACTAGAGTCTTAAACCATAGCCTTTGGATCAAAAGTCTGTCCACAAGGCAGCGGGGGAGGTGGTAATGATTTAGTTTTACAGAAATGGACGTCATCCCATTTCACCCCCCCAACTTAGAGGACCTGACTGGGTTCGTCTGACCTCTAACCAACAGGCCCGACTACGTAAACTGTCGCACCACATTGAGGTCCAGTCTCGCTGCGACAGCACAGTGCGAACTGGCAAGTTCTACATGGACGCTACAAACCAGGTGCCGAAGAAAGAGCTTTTCCATTTCCGGTTTGTTGTCAGCACGATATTGATCCACTTTTATCGGCGGTATCCCTAGAGTATTGATTACATCTGGTGGCAACACCAGGTGAGCAATGCTGAGGCCAGACATCTGGCGCCTCATATGAGTGCCCCTTAAAGCTTGATCATCTTTGCCGGTGTGCATTAATCGCCGTCACTGCACCTAGTTGGGTAAAATCGCGAGGTGGTCTGTCGAAGAGATGGAGTAACTGGGTCAGGTTGGTACGCATCGTCTTCGTGTATATTGGTCTCAGGATGGGCACCACTAGTGGCCATATACGTTGCCAGATATGGCGCAGTTGCGCAAATGGTGGAACTCTTGCATTTTATTTCTTGCATTCAGATACTGATTCCACATCTCGATTATGTTTGCTCCCTTTTAACCTAACCTGTTTTACCCTGCATTCAGTTACCGGTCTACCCTCCGCTATGAATTGTTGTTATCATGGCATTCAAGCCGTGCCAGCAGCATCCACAGCATTTTGTTGCTTGGATCAGAGCTGTTTGACCGAAGCAAACTCAAATCTAATGTTTGACGAAGAGTGTGGTCGATGTAACTACGACCGGGACGAGATCCTGTTTGGCTTTCAGTGATTCGGTTCTCACGGGGACCACTAAGTTGTTGAGGAATGTTACCCGTGAGAAATTTGAAGGCAAAGGAAAGGAGGCGAATGCCTCGACGAATTTTGTGCAGGGTACACTGACCCTACTTGGAGAAGAGCACAAAAGGTGACAGTCACCAACCTGAGGGCACCACATTGGTGTCCCAATTGTTAATTAGAGCAGCAAGTTCAGTCAACAAAAAATCACCTACATCGTTCAGCAAAGATGGAGAAGGGTCGTCGGGTCCAGAAGACTTGTTTTGTTTCAGCACAACGAGCTCATGGTCAATCTCTTCCCACGTCGGCTAAGGTGATTCGGCAACCAGCAATGTTGCAACAAGCCTGCTGAACTGCTCCTCAAAGTGTTCCGCCCAATGGGCTTGTCGACAGGGTTGAGAATGGATCAACTATCCATCTTTCTCAGCAATTATCTCACTAACTAATGGCTTTCTTGGACCGGGTTCCGGATGAGCTGGAATAACACTCGGCTTTCTGACTTTCTCCATCTCATGGGCCCTTGTCATCTACCAAAGTTTACCGTCGACTCGAAAACTCCTTGTCAGTCGCCGTTTCAGGGAGTTACGGACAAGTTGAAACTCGGTGCCCATTGAAACCTATTCCCGTGCTTCGATCAAATTGATCGATGCCTTATGAAAACAATACACACTTCGGACGTCTCCAATTGAGTACACGGAAGGGGTCAAAATCGTTATTCATGACACACTTGAGACGATTCCAATGAGCGATTGGTTTCACCACCTCATTCATCACTGACAACTGGTGGGCTAGTTCGTCATGATGCAGACTGCGAGTTCAATTTGCAAGTAAGAATCTTAAAAGGTACGCGCTTCTTTGAAGTGTGAAAAGTGAGCGCTAGGCATGCGCGCACTAGAGCATGATCAGAGTTCAGGCACAGGATGCAACTTGACCGACAGTCTTGGACTGATGTGCGTCATCTATAGCTGGTAGCAATATAGTCAATTTGAGTCCAAGTTATTCTGTGGGCGTCAGGTGACACGATGTAAATGTTTGTGCTGGAATGTAGTGCTACTAAAAGGGGATGATCGGCGCACAGTTGCAGGAATCGAACATCACTGTCTGTTCGGCGCGAAATGATTACAAAACGACCTACCAAGTGCTGTCCAGAGTCTGAAAGACGAGCCACTTGGGTATTCATGTAACTTGTAACATTCCAGATCAGTATTTTGCGTCATGCTGAGAAGACATGAGAGCTGACTATTGAAATCGTCCTTGTTACCCTCCGAGCACAAACGGAAGCGATGGAAAGGCACCTTGTCTTCATGCGACGCTTATTAAACTCAACAGAGGTTCGCAGTTGAACCGCCCAAATGCGGTTGTTCACGGGTATTCAGTCAACTAAATTGCCTTCAGCTTGTTTGCTGAGGGCGATACCAACACCGTAAATACCTTGCACCATTGACTCGGTATTACCAGAGAAACGAAGAGTGTAGTCATTGTCACCAGATTCAGACCCTGTAAGAAAGTATCAAATAATTACCGTCCAATTGTTTGCACTTCGGTAAACTTGAAGATTATTTCTGAAGTGATGCAGGCTCAAACTCCTTCAGATAATCCACCATAGTTTGCTTGTCCTAGTTCGAGGTCAACGCAAAACGCATGGACCTACCTCGTGTACACTCTATGCAGTCATCACTAGGCAACAAGGTAAAACAGTGCGAACACGTCTTCTTGACCACAATAATGCTCTCGTCTGTGTAAACCATGAGCTTCTTTTGGGAGACATACATGAGGTCGGAATGCAATATTTTACTGTCCATCTGCGCTGAGGGACTATTTTCGCTAGAAGTACACAATGTATCCGACTTGGAGGTAAACGTCTCTCAACGCTCATCATAGCCACCGGTATTCATCAGAGAGCCATACTGTCCTATATATCTTTTCCACCTAAGTCAGCTCATTAAACGTCTATGATAATTCGATATTGCTGAAATATTCAGATGACGTGGTCCTGGGTATGCAACACCCGACTGTAGCCTCATCTACCATAGTACAAGTTTATGTGGACAACCTTAAAAGGTGGTCTAGAGCTCTCATTATATTGCTCAACGCATTAAAATGTAACGTTTTTTCCATACAAAATGGCCATAATCATCAGCAAGCTCTCATGGAATACCCTGAAATTCATGTAGACGTTGAGAGGTTTCACTACACACTGTCCATGAAGTGTCTGGACGTTACACTCAACCATGATTTCGCTTGCTCATGTCAGGAGGTTTTCTTCCTACACTGCTCGGCTGCTACCCTCCTCTGTCCACAATCACTCAATACTGATGTATCGCTGCCAGTGTTACGCCACTGCATCTATTGCTCCTCTGTGATATACCCTGGTTTACTAATCAAGCATTTCAAAGTCCTAAATAGGTCATTGTAGCAAAGCTTTCGATTTAATGGCGTTCCAAAGTCGATCATTGTGGGAATTCTTATATCTTATCATGTTAGTTCATGTAAAAGTCTTTCTTCAAAAATACCTATGCAAGTCAACTTCATCATGGTACATCGTCCGACTGCGTATCAGGTTCATTCACCAGATAAAAGTGCAAAGCCACTTACGCTCTTAAACGTGCTTACTACTTCTTAGTCACTCCGTATTTGGTGCGTAGTTGCGCGAGCAAATTGCAGTCATTACGGGTTGACAAGAAAGTTTGCGGTGTACATATATTACCATCTACTACGCCTCATGTTGAGATTGATGTTGCATATATTATGCTTCCTCACCGCAGTTGGGCTAGAGTGACATTCATTTGTGCTTGTTACGCGTTACACAAGATATGACTGATTGGATAAGATCAGTTATATTAATTCTCCGCATATTCCCTGTTTAGTTCGCGCACCTTCATTTTCAATGTTAGTCAGCTGATATTCCCTGATTCATACACTTTCCCAAGATCACCCTAACAATAGACCAGAATTCATACCTGTTTGACTTGCTCATTTCTGTCCAGTGTCCAGTTTTGTGTGTATACTTTCTCTCTTTCATACACAATATGGTGGCTCATGCATGTCGCATACATAATGCATCTTCACCACAGTTGGGCTACGCCGATTTACACTTAAACTAGATCCACTTAACTTGGAGAAAAAGCATTCTACTTTATTTGGTTTGCTCACTTCTGTTACTGCGCTGCGTAGTTCGTGTCAAATTTGCGTGTTTATTTCCTCAGAAATTCCGTTTTGGTCGTGTTATATCCCTGATGTGAATGTTGACAGGGTGCCCACATGTCGAAAAATCATTGCCTCGGTTATACTGCCTCCAATAGAAAGTTCATCTTTGCTAGGGGAAAGAGAGAGCACGGTCTTCGTGTCCATGCCAACCTCAAAGAGTGATTCTACGCATCTAGTGTGGAGCGGGCTACGGTCCAGCCACCGCCTTGTGTACGTCTGCTACGCATGATTCCCCCAACAGAAATAATTGTTGATGTTCTTGTTAGAGTATGTGCCGGTTTCGCTGACGAAATGTGGCTCCCATGCCACCTTCGGGTTTACACTGGATACGGGGTATGTGGGTGGTGCAGCGCAAGCCACTCATGGTCCCTCTGTAGACGCATGCGTCCTGTGGCTGTGCTATGAAGGCGGCATTAACAGGCAAATCCGGAACGGGATGCCGCCAAGCATATGATCTACTAAGCAAATTCTGTAATCGCTGTATTAAGATATGTTCTATGTACGATGCCAAAGGTGTGTGTGTGTGTGTGTGTGTGTGAAGGCCGAGTATCCCACCCTTCTGGCTGCATAAAGGTATTTCTTGAATGAGACAAGATCGCATGGATTCCAACCTGAAAAGCAGGACGGGTTACTAGTACTCAGCTTAGTCACTTCACTGCCGGCTGCTAGGTCACTAACCGTTCCACTTGAACCTCACATTATTCAAAGTGAGACAAGCGTGAGGAACAAACCAAACGACTGAAAACCCAACCACCGAACAAGCAACCATTGGTAGACGACAATGACCAACTGTGTGGACACACCAGGTAATTACTAGCAAAAAGATGAATGGCAGATGAGAAGCTCAGGGTTCAGATCGTCAACTCAGTTTTGTATGCTAATCGGATAAAACGAGTGGAGTCTAGTCTAAGGTGTGTTCATATCAGCTGTCCAAGTCTTCAAAGAGTACTGTGATGAGGCAAGTAAAGAAGAATATTTAGACGGTTCTCGTGATTGGTCATATGTCAACGTGATTCTAGCAACATATCTACACTCGGACTTGGCATCCGCATGGGGGCGCACAGGCGATCGGGGGGTTCTAAGAGCAAGGTAGCACATCTAAAAGAGACGCACTTGTTCCATTCCACACAGCTTGTCCACAGAACGTCTAAATACATTCATGCAAGCTTCAGTGATGCTGTACACCGCCGTGTAACTGGCAGCTTCAGACTGATACTGAGGCATTCTTTTAATTAGATCCGACAATTCACGAAGACCCAGAGTTTCCTTCTTGCCAGAGTCGGCCAACGCCGCATCGTTCACGTAACCGCCATCCGAGGTACGGAGTCCCGAGGATCGGATCGCAGTGAATTGCTTCTTGCTCTCCGCGAATTCACGGATTCGCTTCGGAAGAGTTCTGTCGGGGAATAAAAGCGGGGTGGAACGCGAGTATCGGAAGAAAGAATGACAAAGAACACGGCAAATTTCGAACAAAAGTAGCTTGGTGGACTGATGGGTATAACACTTGGTTTTTACTTTCTATTCCATAAACGAGATAAATTGGGTCATGAGCGGAAGATACGGCACAGATGCAGCCGAGATAAGAGACAATCAGAGGGGATTGTGTTTAAATTCTACCGGAGTTCCAATAACAAAAACTGTGTCAAATTGAGATCTAACTTTCCGGGAGAAAGTATGAAAATCTATAGTTTCAACGATTAAGGTTTTATATCGATTTCGAATACTCTGGCATATTCCAGGGCTGTGAGTGGCGGCACAACATTTTCATGATGGGCTGGATCTGTATGACACTGAGAAGTTTGACAGCCGATTTTTCTTTTCTGGGAGCCAAAGGTCTTTGAACAACTTGTAAATGCGGCCAAGTTCTATCAGTTGTACAGGGTTTTGGAGGCGAACACGTTGTTGCATTAAGGTCGTTTGATCTCAGAGTTTTCTTTTCGTCTAGGCTAGAATCCGTGTAGAGGACTAGAGTGTTCTAGTAGGAACAGCAAACGAATTCGAAGGTCTAACATTAGCGGTTGAAAGTCACAATCAATTGCAGAAACGCTGAGATGCGGGACCACATGAAGCAATAAGTTGGTATCACAACTAACCATCATAATTAACCGAGTGTGTGGAACGAATAATACAACACGCTATAATCATACCTCGTTGTTATCTAATCAAGAGTTGAAGGACAATCAAAGTGAACGGAGGACAAGAGAAGGGGAATATGGTAGTGTATAAGCTCATTAAGTAAATATTCAGTCAAAGCGCCTGCGCCTTGCCAACCCCGCAACCACAAACGACTGTCTATTAATATGACCATTAGACGACCGTGAAATAGATTCCTGCGGTATTTACCACTCAGTGTCGTCAACAGTAACCTACAGATTCAACCTGTGTGCGAGGCAACTCACAGACAGGAATACAACTGAACCGCTATTGACGGTGATCCGTTTGAGAAGGCAGACGACTTAACCTGGCGTGGAGGAGGACACCGGAGCCGTCCTGTGTTTAAGGCAAGAGGATGAAAGCGTAGCGTGCATAGCCAGGTAGATCTTTTCATCTGGGGGGGGGGTAAAGTGGCTACTTAGTGACCGACTGAGAAACTCACATAATGCGATATTCGGTAGCGCATTGACAAGAGTCGGACCAATTGTTCCCAAATAAGAGGCAGTCAAAGATGAGACTGCAATCCCTGAAGCTTCTGACAAATTAGTCTATCAGTGACCACTGCCGGGTAACGTCAAGTAGCACATCGGTGCCCTGAAGTTGGTGTTGCTTAGAAACAGCTAATGCAGTTCAAGTGTACAATGAACGTTCACCACTGTCGATGCACTCGGGAACAAATCCGAAGGTACCAGCTAACAAAGATCCGACGGTTTTAGACAGCCTATCTGTGCACTCACATACACGTCAGTTTGAACACTACGTAGAACCGTGCTTAACTCGTGTCCGTGCTAGCATCGATCTGTATCCGATTAGAGCATTTGCATCGATGATGAGTAGGTAATGCTTTGCGCTGTGTCATGTGCCTAGTTCAATTATACACGTCAAACAGTTTCACACAAACGGCTGTTCAAGGGAGTCCAAAAAATCAACGGGTATTTGGTCAGGGGAATGAGAATGTTCACTAAGCCTAACTTGTGGTTGCTTCATCAATGTTCCCCAGTATGTTCAACTTGGACACACTTAATAGATAAACAGGTGAAGAATGAATTCGACTTTCGGAGACGGTGCACATAACAATAGAAAGAGTATCCAGTGTGCGTGACAGTGCAACTTGTTCTATCTGTTCCAGACTACGCCTATCAAATACAGTCAGGGAGTAAGGACATCGTGACCTGATGAAGGGGCTTCAAATGGTTGTAAACAACCGGATACTGTTTCAGCGTCTGCGCATGTGACAAAATAAGTGATATTGAAAAGGTCGTCCTTCACGCCGTGCTCCCGTATTCCATCAACGAGCACATTCAACACTGTAATTTGCAGGCAAATACCGCAAATGGTGCTGCGGACACCATGAAATTAACTTCCAAACTGTAATGACTTCCCGTGTTTCAATAAAACTGGTGGATGCCCCAAAGATCCACTCACTATCCAGAAGCCCGAAACTACGCACACAGATAGCTTCCATGGTATAATCTACGGCGATTCGGATGTCGTTCAGTGTTAACTCAAGAACTGAGAACGAGGCTGTTTATTGTGGCGTCACCATGTGCATTATGTTTGATCACCAATATTTCATCTAATCTGTGAACATCCTCCTGGAAGTTGCGTGGTGCGCTCTTGTTTGAATCGTTGTCAGGCGCTGTTTCGGTAGTTCTTTCTAATGAATATGCATTTTCGATCTCTAATCGTTTTCCTTGAGTTAAAGCGTCGGGTTGGTTCTTTTTGAATCGTTACTAAATAACTCGTCTAGTACCCATATACTACGGAATGTTGGCGCAGTAGTAGCCTCCAAAACAGTTCCAGTGGACAACCGCCCAATCAGCGGTGGCCGGTGGCAGTTAAAATGCAAACACGAAGTAACAGAACTGCACAGTGAGTTGCGGAAGAATGAACGCTACGCAGAGATATCATAACGCACGATCAAAAGCTAAGTATTGCTCCAAATCCACCGACAGTCTCACGTTGATTTGTGCGTTCTATAGGTGATGACACGAAGATCGAGTCGAACTTATGATAGTGTATCGTTCGGTAAACGCCAGTTGAGACAGCGCGAGATTTTGCGCTGAAACAATTGTTGTTGCGGTAGAGATTAGTTGACACCGCTAGTTGGATGCGCACCTACTCCTTAACAGTGAATAGAAAGGTTCATTTTAGTTGTAACAAGTATACACCAGAGGCGAAGCAAGGGAGCGGTCCGCCCCGGACGTCATGTGACAGGGGGCGGGATTTTTAGTACCGTCGATTGTTCGATACCAAATACAAAGGATATTTTCAGATAAGCTGAGGGTTGAATATGTTAATGTTACTTTGTATGACCAACAACACATTTGCGCCATGCATCACACCTGTGCAAATGTTCTTCCCAGTGATCCCTTTACTTGTCCCACTGTGGTCACTACCACCACACTTACCAGTGTTCCAAAGGATCACCCATTGCATCGAAAACTAATGTACGCTTTACCCTGAGCCGATTGTGTGATTTTGAAACGCATATTCTGCCCTCAGTGATGGCGAAAATGTTACCACCGCCTCGGGCGGCATAAGTAGTTGCTACGCCACTGACATAATAACCCTATTTTTCAGCAATCCAATAAAAGAAGAGTTTATTCCCACCCCCAGATCGCTGTTAGTGGGAGTGTATGCCACGAGAGAGAGGAGGACCGCGCCCGCACTGCTGCAAGCTGTGCGATTCTCACAGTCTGTATGGAGGTAGCGGGCCAACCATGGCACTGTTGTCCTGCAGAGATGTTCCAAAAGGACAGTAAACAAAAAACTGCAGGAGTGTATTGCAATACCGGCGACGAAGAAATAAAGGCATACCATGCTCCGCGACTACCCTTACCGTGAGGGGTTTCGACCGAGGGTCTCCGCCGCCCGCCCCCCAGCGTGAGCTCAACACTCTAATCCACAAAGCTGTGAGAAGCAGGTGTAACCGAGAAGATTTTCTTGAGGTCGCACACACGTGGTCAAAGGAAACAGAACATAGAATACAAGCATTCCGAGGTGAGAGATAGCGGGTTTACAATTCATCAAACGAGGATCGTCTGGAGTGATGACTGATGTTTTGAACAGTGAGAAACAGTTACACTCGCTCATCCTGATGGACAAAGTGTAGTGTCAGCGCTCTGTACCTCGAGCTCGCGAGGTCCAAGTTGCTGTCTCGCATGGCTGTTTAGACAGCTCGCTAAGCAGAGCCCGATAGTAGAATTTCGATAAGGTGGAAACCGTAGCCCAAAGAGCACTTAAAAGAATGACATCGTGCAACTGATAGGAAGAAGATGGGAGAGAAAGCAAAATATCGCAAGAAACTAAGCTCCGTTCGCATCGGGATGATCGTACGATTCGTCTCGCAAAATACCTGCAGTGTGTGACACCAGAGTATAGCAACTCGAAAAGTCGCCATTTCTCATACTACCACGAAGTAAACTTTTGATTGGGAATGACGGGAAAGTCACTTGGGCATCGAATCACTGTTCTCTAAATAAGAAAAGAGGAAGAAGCAACTACTGCTTCGGTTGAGAAAGATGAAAAAAGGAGTACACACAAACCATGCATGAACATGTGAAGTGTTGGGATGACATACTTCGTGACGTCAGCAATGTGCTGGTGTCGTAATTCTCTCCATAGCGGATCCCGATCGGTAACATTCGCCTTACGATTTTCGCCGTATCTGTAAATAAAGTTGTAAATAGTACTGCTGAACGAGAAAGAGACCGGTGTGTAACCAAAGGACGTGTTTCGCAGTAACAAAATTTGAAAAGTCTCCTACAAGTGCAGAGAACAAATAAAATGCGCGTAGTGAGACAGGAGGAAAGTAGCTGACTTCAGCGCCGGAAACATGTGAGTAGAGGTCCGGTCCTGGGGTATTATACATAACTGATACGAATGACAACGGCGGGCGGGGGGTGATGATGTAAAGCTGACGAGGTGGGGAAAAGTGGCAAACCGTTTGCCAAAAGTGAATGAAGAGTGGGCTGATAGTCTGGATAAAGTCATGTACTTCAAGTGGATTCTCATCTTAGCTATTGCATCGTTAGGGCAATCGCGAAATGTGGTGAATATTTCTCTTAAGGAACGCTTGTACAAGCGGAGGGAAACCCGGTGTTCATGTCATCTAAAAGCCGAAGTATCGCCAGCTGATGCCACTCTGTCTTCTGAGACCATTTCGTCTGCGCCACATATCTGTCAACTTTTGTTTCATAGGTGATCTAAATTAGGCGCAGATAGTGCACGCAAATTTTTACGTCAACCAAAGACAATCAACACACACAACACGATGCGGTTACGTGGGCACAAGGCCCGCAATGCTGCACGTGCGGTCCTCAAAGTGTAATTCAGACAAAAAAGATCAAACGCGCAGTGGAGTGTGCGGTGCAACAACGCTCTGACCGTTATCTACACACACAAAAATCCAAATCGTCCAGGAATCTGACATATTTGCGGCAGTTCATCCATTGATCGATCACCATAGTGCAATAGTACGAATAGAACACCCACATCGAGAGCAGCTAAGTCAAGCGTATGTGCACTAAGCGTAGAGTGCACAGCACAGTATTAACTATGCTGTACGGCACCGACAGGGTGTTAACAATGATGAAGTTAAACTCGAACTATGCATAAGAGGGAACTGCGGAAGACAAGGGGAGAGAACTAATACTCTACAGCAGCCAAACTAAAGGGGTAATTTCACTCCATAAACATCAACCAAAGAGTGGGAACGTAGTTGAAGCCTCATCTGGCTACACGATAAACTGAAAAAGCATCTGGAAAATTTCAGATGGCCTTATAATACGAGGGCAGAAGGATAAGTTTCCGGATACGCAGTACACAAATCAGGCGCAGATGATATGGCAGGGAAAATATGAACTGTAACCCATTGTTCAGTGATTTCAACTCACAGAATCTATATCAGCAACCAAGCACAGCCCATAAGGGTCGCTATACTCTGACAGTAAATATGGAACTCAGTCGATGTCACTGGAGCGCGATGATTTTCTATGACTACAAATGTGGTTTAGAGCAGCATTAGAGTGCTGAGCAATTGCGTGTTGCGTTTGGTGATGATGCGCCTTCAAGAACCATCGTGTTTGAGTTGTTTGCGGGAACAAGCGTGGTAAGCCGTCCGTAGATGATGAGGCATGGTGTGGTAGACCTGTGGGGGGGGGGGACCACCGCGGATAACAGTGCTGGTGTGAAAGCGATGCTGGAGGAGGACGCGCGGTTGACTGTGCCATAGTTTGGGAAAGTCATCGGGATCTCATCGTGACCAATCCTACATGAGAACCATAGCCTCAGAAAAGTTTGCAAACGTTGGGTATCCCATAAGCTCCGTGTGGACCAGAAAACAACTCAGGTGAATTTGTGCTGCACCATGTGCGCCAGGTTTGATGGTGCACGGTCCATGCTGTTTGGGAAATCCTTAGAAGTGATGAGACCTAGTTGTAGAGTTTCCACCCAGAGACCAAGCGACTTTCGGCTCAGTGGACGACCATTGTTGAGGCGCCGTCTCGGAACTTCTGGCGTGGGTGTAGTGTGGCCAAGAAGATGTTAGCTGTGTTCGTGACGAAGGCCGGTCATGTGACTGCTGTGCCGCTCGTACGGCAACGCACAGTCACCGGAGATTGGTATGCCATCTACTGCCTGCCATAAGTGCTGGGAGCTGCAGCCAACGATATTCCAAGGACACGAACACGTGGGACCTTGCTGCACCATGACAACGCAGCTGCACACAGGTCCTATGTCGTCGTAGATTTTCTGGCTACAGAACGCATGCAGGATGTTGGTCTCCTACTCTAAAGTCCAGAACTGGCTCCGTGTGACTAATTTGTGTTCCCAAATGTCAAGCGCATGATGCGTGGAATCCGCTACGAGTCTCCAGAAACTGCAGTAGAGACCATTATTGAGCTGTTTCGGTATGGTCTAGCTGCTTCTCCAAATGGTTTGAGCACATAAAACTGTGCATGAACGCTGGGGGAGGGTACCTCAAGAAAATTTAATGCTTGTTTTGTTGTAAAAAAACAAAAGCTTTGTGCATCCGGAAATTTAATGCTCTACCCTCATATCATTGCACTGTGTAATGCAAAGGCATATCATGATTTGACTCTGATTAACGTGTCCAACGCTGGTCCAAAAACACAAGGCTGTGGTCGAATGAGCAATAAGGCCCCCTTGCTAGTGTTATTCTCAGTCCTGTTCCCAAAGTAGCTGACAACAGATCATCTATGAGTTCGGTAATCACAATAAGGTAAGGCACCCGAAGTACGCCAGCATATCGCGCTGATGCCTCGCTGTCACACAAGCAACACCGGTTGTGCGTGGGCTAGGTGTATCGCCAAGTCCCCCAAACCTATGTGGATTCGAACCGGTGACCTCCGAATTACAAGGCAAGCGCGCAATCCTTTGGACCACCGGCCGAAGAAAACTATATCATCTTCAATTCTGTGAGACCCGTTTCCAATCGCGTCCGAAATATGCCAAACCTGTAAACGAGCAATGCTTGCTTTGACACAGTGCAATCTCGGAGTTCGTGTATTCTGGGTCTCTGAAACACACAAGACAACAGCGTCCCGATGTATCTAAACGAAGGGTTCGGGTAGCCTGCATATTTCGTGTCACCGAAAATGTCGGATCGACGACTTGCAGCATTTAATGTCGGAGTCACTCTCAAAAGACAGGAAAGCATCTCACTATAAAGGACGCCCATCGAACAGATGCGTGTGTGATTCAACCTCGGAGCTCAACCAAAAGTAACGACAAGCAGTGAATGTGGAAAGGTTGGGTCTCCATCACTTCGGTATGTTCCCACTGACACTAGGCGGGAGCTAGTATGAACAGGTATCATCGTCGAGCTGAATGGTCAAAAACAAGGATAGTGGTAGAAACGCTTAAGGCGGCAACCAGTTAGAATCAAAACAGCCCGATTTACAAGTTCGAGATTGCATGCCACAACGTCTGCCGACCAATATTTTGCGTTGCCAAGCAAGTTATTGCGGTTTCTGACATGTTAAGTTTAAAGTCTACATCTTTTAATAAATTTTTAACAAGTTGCCTTGATACTATATACCAATTTGCGTCGGTTGGCAAACGTGTTGTGCTGCCCCCGTCTCAAATATCATCTACGCAAATTTCGTCTCGATTCCACAGTGCCCGGGGAGAAGTTGGGACTCAGGCCACAGTATTCGAGGGAAGTTAAAATCGCCCATAAGTAGGAAGCGGGGCCGACTCATGTGGTTTCTTATATGCGGTAACCAATCCAGACATCGACTTCGCGGGCTGCGATAAGCTGCACTCACGAACGATTCACCGTCTCAGGCAGATCGAGCACCAAAGTTGCTCGCACCGGCCATCTTCACTCCGATAGGTATGTACCAGTCTCCCGCACAGCGAAGACCGAATGAATAAAAGAACTCCACCGAGCTCGTTTGATAATCTGTTACACCGGAATCACGAATAGCCACTAATCTGAAAACATTATCATCTGGAATTCCTGGGTAGTGACCTCAGGATTTAACCAGGTTTCGGCCAATCCCAGTACGTCCGGAAGACAAGAGGCAACGAAGTGATATAGATTGGAACGTTTGTTTATTAAACTACGAACATTTGTGAAGGCTACGCGCAGTCCGCAGTTGAAACCGTCGGGTGTGCAGAAAGCGTCATCGACTTGTTGATCCGGGTTCGGATGACCCGGGGAACTACCCGAAAATTTACAATGCGGAGGTTGCCTTCTCCGCTATCGGTAAACCGCTTGAACTCAATGATAGCGGATTTCAGTTTCTCTCAGTCCGACGGATCCAAATCTGGACGAATTTGGATCTGCAACACTTTTAGCCTACCGAGGCGGGATAGTACCACCCTCGGACTCACGTCATCTGCAAAGCTGACTCGTGGAAGCCGAATCGTACCATCCACACCTTTTCCAAGACGTGTGATTTGCTTCACCCTCAACCTCTGTTCACTTACGTTGAGGAGTCTATCAAGCAGGCTCTGTAGAAATTCGACGTCGTACACACAACGAAGTGAGGATTTGTATCCGTGGACTCAGGCGCGTGAAATAAGGTTGCAACGCCGCTGGTCACTGGCAGTTGCTTCTACTTATTTCATTCTGTTCGCCATTAGCCTCCTTCGCTTGAGTTATCGCACAGTGGGTTGTTAGTGCCCGTCGGAGTCAACACAGACAAAGACAGACCAGTTGAGTTTCCGGAAACGGATGAACATCGCTCCGGAGAGATCGCAGTTGGCAGGCAAGTGAGCTCGTCCCGAACTAGGCGTGGCTCAGTTGCTGACGTATGGGATGTACCCACGAGCTCCTCGTTATGGAACATTTCGCCCGCTTCATATTCTCGCGAGTTCTTTCGACTGCAGATGATCGCACTTTAAGCTGACACTTTTTACATAAAATTTGGACAAGATCATGCTAGATAGCACGCAGATAAACCGATGTACGAAATATGGAAGTTTATGCCGCAAAAAAGTGCATGTAACCGCGTTTGCGCGATGATCAACCACTTTAGAACACCTGCCACTGGGAGTCAGCTTAGCCATCTCGATCGATACGGCTCAATTAAGGTGAGATAGAAACGCAACAACTGCAGTGAACTAGCACATATATCGTTGATAAAGTAATTCAGAATCACTGGTAATAATGAGCTACACACGAAAACGGTGATGAAAACGACTTTATCGGTGTAAAGAACAGAGTAAACTGGCCTGACGACGATAGGGACAAAACGCGAAAGCAGGTATTACAGAACGACGGAATAACTGCCGAAAATGGACAATATATAACTGGATAATTCTGAACGACAAAGAATATTGAAGTATACAATTGAAGACAAAAAACTACCATATATGACCAGAGAAGTGAAAAAATGACCTGGGAGTGGGGCGATTCATTTCCAACCAGCCACCGTGATCTTGACCTGAGTAGATTAAATATGCTCGCCAAAGAAACCGAATGTCCACACGTAAGTTGATACAACTGCTCGCTAATTTGAAAACGCCAGCTGAACGGAATGTTAGCGCTATAACGCGTCCCAGTTATTTCGAATCTTAGTTGTAGCGCAGAATAGCCACTCGATTTCGGAATGTTGTGGGCTAACGTAATCTAACCGCCAGACATACACGCGAGGTGACACTGAGGACGCAAAACGAGTAACCTAGCGCTACCGCACTGAGACCGAACGAGGAAGTCTGGTCGGCACACGGGCTGTCACCCAGTGACCTGAGAAAAAGTGTCCGTGTGGCTTTGTGCGGTGGCTGTCACAGTGCACCGACGAGTTCGCTAAGTTCACTGCAGCTTGGATAGTGGATGCGTCAGTGTCTTGAGTAAAGCTCAGTTGGTTTACTGTGGATGGGTATCAAAGTCCTGAAGACGATTCGGTTATTAGTTGCAAGTCTGTTGCCGTATGGCGATTGTATGTTCGAGGTGAGTCTGGCAAAATCTGCGCAAGTTTGGCGGAGCTATGCAGTTCTGCAACAGAGAGTCTGCCCGGTCTGGCTTTCACACCTTCGTAAACAGCCACTTGCGCGCGTAATTCATTTCACTGTCCAGTAGTAAGTTTGGGAGATCCGAGTGTGGAAATCAGCATAAAACTATTTTAACTATTTTAAAAGGGTTCGATCCTCCTTAGAGGACCGAGGGAATGCGCGCCACTGACAAGCCCCAATAGGGCGAAACGCGTCTGGCGCTTTTCCGGACTAGGCTCTGCTATGTAGCTTGTGAACTATTGGGATGAAAGCCTTATCAGAATTGCAACTAAAATCCTGCTGCTCATGAGTAATATTTTAAAAAGAGTTATGTTATTTGTGTTATCACAAGCCCACCCTAAAAAAATTTTCATCCCGGGGCCCCCGGTGTTGCGTGCCTGGTTCTCCCAGCCGCGTCAAGAGAAAGAAGACACACCGGCTCAGCATGCTAGCGTTCTATTCACAAATTCGGGGTTCCGTACAATTACGTGGGTGTTTAAAAACACTCGTCGACTCGATGGATCGCCTGATCTAGCGCATTCAGGCAGACGATTGCCTTCGTCCTCGATTCCAGCCACCATCACATCCTTTTCTTTTTTCGCAGTTCTTGTGTTGCATTTGTCATATCTTCGTCCACTGGGGGCGAGCTTCGGGTCTAAAGGAATGACAGTTTCAATAAGGTTAGGCTGCATTAGAACGTTAGCTGCTGTCATCGACTTCGCCTCCGACTGAAGTAACGCTGTCGCTAGATAGCGCTTTTCTTCCTTTCAGTATCAGCAGACGAGGAACCCTATCGGTCTCTTTGACACTGATAAGTCATTTCTTTATTTTATTTTCATTTTCCATGACAATGTTTCCTTTCGGCTGCAGTCTCGGTCTGTTCAACCCTTTGAAGCGACTGTGTGTTGTACTGCACTCTATTCCGATGCAGCTTTCCGAGGGTAGCATGCTGTCAGTGGTTCTTAGATCAGGCTGTGATGATGCTGGTCGTTTTTGTGTCAACGGCGTTGGAAAGGCGCACTCTTGTTCGCTAAGGCCGTTTGAGTATCTACCTGTGGAATCCTTCGTCGCTTGGTGGCATTTATTGTTCACTGAACTGGCATCGACCAACCGGCTGCAACTAGAGAGAAGGGCTAATCGACCATCACAATAGTCTTCAAATCTCCCGATTATTTTTGAGAAAGCCATCATTCTATCATGGTCACAGAAATTTCACGCCTCCATTATACGACATACTTCCTGGCCGACAGCGTATCGGAACATGGCCATCTGGTATGACATCGGGTATTCATCCAACAGGATCAACGCTGCGAATTCCATCCAACTCGTTTTCCACACTTATCAGTTGTCAGATAGCGTGCCTTCAATCATCTGTAGAGCAATCGGCAGTGGAATCGACGGCTGTCCACCAAAAGCGAGCGGGGTCCGGCGCGTCAGCTTCTTCTCCTCTGTCACCATGTCACGTGCCTGGTTCTCCCAGCCGCGTCAAGAGAAAGAAGACACACCGGCTCCGCACACTAGCGTTCTATTCACAACTGTGAGATTCTGTACAATTAGCTGGGTGTTTAAAAACTCACTCGTCCATTCGATTGATTGCCTGATCTACCGCACTGAGGCAGACGATTGTCCTAGTCCTCGGTTTCAGCTACCATCACACAGGATAATTCTCTATAGCTCCCCCGGAGGCCATATGGCTCTCATTGAGAATGGATGCTTTAGACCATTACATGCTCAAAAGTGTATAGTATTACATTCACTTCATTTGCATGCACTTTTATCAAGGTCGCGTTTTCGCCAGTCCACTATTAGCCTAACTGCTACCGTTAATTGTTTTCACTACCGTTGCAAACCTAGTCGTGAATCCTATCTTGTATAGTATTCTGTTCTTTAGAATCACGCTTGTCAGCTGTACGCCGTAACGGCGCTACTCTGCCGCGCGACCACTACCAGTCGCGTGCGGCTTGAGTATACCGCGAGGACGCCCACCCCTACACGGGTGCGAACCGGAGACCTTATGGTTGCAAACCAAGCGCGCAGATTACTTGGCCACCGGCCAACAGAACCACGCTTACAGAATCATAATACTATTCTGTCTCGACCGTTTTCAGCCAAGACCGTACGTACAGTCTGGGTTTATACCTTGAACTAGCAATAGTTATATACAATACGTGAGAGGTAACTCGATCTAGCTTGTTCCGTCGTTACAAGGAGCGTGGGAATAATGTAATGTGTCCGGAAACGGAGTGGGCCAGAGCCGTTGATAAAAAGTGAATATTGTTACAACTCACCAAAAAGAACCGACGTGGACGAAAGAATAATGCATCAAAAGAACAAATGACTCGTGCTGAACAGTCAGCTTAAGCTATGAGTGGAACGTTTCTAAGAACAATTCGTTCGACTTACATGCTGGAAAAGTTAGCTGATTCCTCTCGGCCCAGTTAGGTCTTTAAGTCACTTTCGTCACCCGAAAACGTAACCAGTTTCCGAACTTATGTTTTCAGGTGAAACGCAGATGTGCATCATTAGGTTTCGAGATCAATGAACACATCCTCAACTGATTTCCCAGCCGAATGCGATCTGTGAAGCGGAATCGGTGATCGGCAAACACAAGTTATGTGTTGACCACTAGCCACCGAGTTAACCCTGGTGAGTCGTTCACCGTACTAACGCGCGAGCATCGGCCCAGCACTCTCAAGGTACTGCAAACCGTCATTATCGATAGCGGACGCACACCGCTGTGCATTCAAAAACAGCTGACTGGTTTTACACCTACTTTGATAGTGGAAAGCGCTCGGCTATCAATCACTGTTTTGATATACCAATGCAGCGTTTATGGTGAAAATGTACGAAATGGAGATGTCATCCCACAATTTACGGCTTCCGATTTCCTTGTTTTCAATAAAACTGCCCCAAATCAACGGATCTCACTCACGTGTATGTATCGTCATCGATGTCCAAGAGGTCATAGCACATGGCTTGCAGGGTCAGTTCGTGTAGAAGTGGGCTGGCCGGATCGAATCCGCGATCAAGAATTAGGAGAATGCTTCGATCTTTGTGGAGGCCCTGGAACAGAGTTCAACGATGATCATTTGATTCTGATAATTGTTACGATTAAGAGTGACACAAAAGGAATGAAAGGTAGGGTCGTTGTTTAAAACAGAAACGAAGAATCGCCCAAGGTATGTAAAAATCGGAGCATAGAAACAAGTTGGTGGAATGCTTAATAACGGAGTAGTAATCATATTGGATAAGAAGCAAAAGAAAAATTACCATCGTGAAAGATGGCTACCATCAAGAATGTTGCTTATACACCACAATGTTGGCAAATGGCAAAGGAAAAATCCTGCAGTAGAAGTCACGATTGGGAATGGTGAAAAGATCGGTGAGTTCCTTAAGGTGGTCAAAGCAAAACAAAAGATTATTCACGGAAAATACGATGCGAACATCGGTAGACATGATAAAACGTTTAACACCACGGCTGGTCGAACATAAAATACTCAAAAATTGGTTAAAAAAAATTAAAAATGAAAGCGATCCGTAAAAAACATTGTGATCAAACGGCTTTATCCAAGTATAGGACATTCGTTGATAGTACCACTGCGCATGACTAAGTAACACGTACGTGCTAGGCAGTCTAGCATCCTCAAGTTACTTTTCACAACAGGCATTCCACACGCAAATGCGAAGAACTAGACAATGTAGCCGTTTGTGATCACAAAACTGCAAAACATATACATCTAAGGCTTCCTATTTTTAAGATGTCGTTCACCAACGGGGAGAGCTTCTAGCCTCTCCTCAGGACGATGAATTGAGATAATTTTTGTACCCCTGATATGGATGCTACAACCTACAAGTTTTACAACAACAGTATCTAAAGTTATACTGGTGACACCCATTGATTACATAGAGCATTTCTTGTTATAAGAATGGCACTGACAAAATGAAACGAAATGCGCGCATCTACCAATGTTCGTCTTCTTTCTGTGTTATTCAAATTATCCAATGTAGCCATAAATGCGCTCGTACAAATGTGAGGAAACCTAGAAGGACAAGGCCGATAGTTGCTCACTCTATTCGTTGAGTATTTTGTATACGCATGAAAATGCGGCGTAAATACAACAAAACTAAAGAACTCTACCTTATGACATGTATGAATAAAGTCGTGGTCGATTAGACGGAGGCAACTGTGTTAAAAGAGCGCATAGCGCTTAGTACTAGAGATAAGGCTAAAGCCCTTAGGTAATTGTGGAAGGAACGCATCAGCCGTGATACAACATTCATTAGCACTCCCCGATGCAACGACAATTAACGACCCCAATGAGTTATGTGAAATCGATAATCTCCGCTTCTGCGAGCCCTTTATGAACAACAATGTCGCATTACCAGCTGACATAGTCTCACAGAGGACGAGTACACTAATATTGACTTTGACTTGCTCGCCATCAACCGGGCAATCAATGCATTCAGGATGTTGAACTACCCAGGTCCTGACGGGCTTCCACTTAAGTGCAATCCGTTTAACAATATCAAGTAATGCCGATAGACGAGGTAGCATCATCATCACTATACACGTTAGCTAGAGGTGGGAAACACCGCAGCTACTGTGCCGCAATAGTTAAAAGAAAAATAGGAGAAAAATGCGACAGGTACAAGCCAGCTGAGCTACCGGTAACGAATGGGCACCGTTCCGGTAAACTATCAGCCGGCTATTATGCAGCAAAAAAATTACTACGCAAAAATAAATAAAGCTAAATAATGAGATTGTGGTGGGAGAGGGAGGTTAAGAAGGATAGTGTGGGATAAAGAAACTCACAGCACGAACGCCACGGAGGTCGGCTCCTTGCCAAACCAGCAACTGTATCTAGCCAAACGTGTTCATCGTGTCCAGGGAGCCGAGACGCTCCAACCGAGGCCAGCTCAGAAGTGAGGGCCTTCATTCCTCTCGAGCAAGTCATCGCTTGGTCACCCCTCCTATTCTTCCATCCACACCCCCAGCGAGCAAACAACGCAAGTCGCGGAAGTCGGTGGGCTGACATGCGTAACACGTGGCCCAGCCATCGGAGTCTGGTGCGTGAAATAACGGTGCTGAACGGTTCAGTTCATTTCCCTTTGCCGTAAACAAGGCGTCGAACACGCTCATTACTCACGCGGTGTTCCCACCACATGTGAGCTAAATTGCGAAGGCACCGGTGGTCGAACGTAACTAGCCTCTTCAGGTCCGCTGCTTTAAGCGGCCAGGTTTCACAACCGTACAATAGGGTCGAACGTACCACTGCATTGTACACTCTACCCTTCAGAGCGAAAGTGATGTCGCGCCGGCGCCATAAGTGGTGAAGGTTAGCAAAAGCGCCCCGAGCTTTTGCTATACGGTTCGTGATCTCATCTTCAATCCCACGGGCGCTGAGACAACTTCCCAGGTAGTTGAATTTTTGTACGACTTCTAGCTGATCCCCACCAAGGGTCAAAGAAGCGGTCCAGGCCAATCTTGGAGGAACGCTTTGCACTTCGAGGGTGAGAGGTAAAGCCCGAAGTGACGGACAGCCAGTATTTTTCTGTACAGTGCCGCTAGGCACGTCTGTGAGCTGTCACAGATTAGGGCAATACCATCAGCATACTCTAAGTCAAGAAGTCGTTCTCCGGGGATCAGATCCACAGCTTCTAAATCGGGTCCTGTAAACGCGATTTCCATGACTTCATCAACAGAGACGTTGGAGAGGAAAGGTGACAACGGACATCCTTGTCTCACACCGCTGGAGATAGTAAAGGGCGATGAAAGCGTGCCGTAACCCCTAACTCTGCCCGAACTACGCGCGTATAATGCTCGGATAAAATTTACATATTTTTCAGGTACACCTTTCATAACTACACAGTACCAAAGTGCACGTCTATGCACCGAATCGAAGGAACCTTTGATGTCGAGGAACACGACTACGGTGGGCCGCCAATATGTGTGACGATGTTCCAATAACCGACCCAAAGTGAAGATGTGGTCAATGCAGCCACGACCTCGACGAAACTCGGTTTGCTCTTCACGAATATGGCTTTCAAGAGTGCCAGTCAGTCTGTGAAGGATTATGGAGGCAAGCAATTTGGAGGCGATGGAGATCAGACTGATTCCTCTATGGCTGCCACAATCCGATCGTGAGCCTCTCTTGAAAATTGGGACTATGACGGAGCGGTTCCAGTCGATTGGGACAGTTTCCTGCTCCCACAGTTTCACCAGTAATTCGTGTAAATCATCCACAGGAGCAGGTCCCTCGAGTTTGAATAGTGCTGGGGAAAGATCACCTGGTCCCGCGGCTTTGTTGAATTTCAACAGTCCGATCTCACATTTGACTTCTGAGCGAGAGGGTGGATCCAAAGGGACAGCTCAAGGAGCAGGCCGATTGGTGGCCAGCGAGAACTCTAACAATTCCGACCGATTAAATTGCTTTTCAAATGTTCAGCCCAACGCTCCAAGCGTTTCGACAAGTTGTGGATAGGCTGTCCACTTTGGTCACGTATAGTTTCCTTAACACCAGGTCTCCTGCTGCCCGTTTCTCGTTTCAGACGGAATAACTCTCGATGGCTACCAAAGGCAGCGGCTACTTCCATCTCTGATGCACAAAGAGACCATCAAGATTCGCGGTCTCTCTTCAGGCTAGCACGGTTTTGCCCGGAGCTCTGTGCGAGTTTCATTGTGTTCGCGTCCAGCCGGAATATGCCGGCGAGCATCGATAAGTTCCAGAGACCGCGAAGAGACCCAAGGTCCATGTTGGCTATTAGATTTACCACATGAGGATTTTCCTGCTGCTAATAAGGTTTGGTGAATATGAGACCAGTGAACTTTAATTGCATCCAGTGAGCGTTTATCCAACTCGCATGACAGAGTACTTTGATAGGTATTCAGAACAGCTGGCTTCGTGTCAATGCGCTCACATCGTCGTCGTGAGCATTCGACAAAACGCATCCCCAGGTCAGCACATATAAGTGCATAATCGGTATTTACACATGTGCTCCAAATAGAGCGACAGTTCTGGACGCAGCTTCGCCATCGGTAACTTATCGCAATGTGATAGATTTCGGTCCATAGCTGGTTCGAGGCTGGTGGGCGTCAAGTCACCCTCCGGCGGGTGCTGTGTAGGAAATTAGTGCTCGCAAGAAATAAGTGAGCATCCTCACACAAATGAAGTAACCACTCACCGTTATCATTACGGGGGCCTATGCCATGTTGTCCGCCAAGATGCAGTTCATCAGTGGACAACTTTCCAACTTGAGCGTTCAGATCCCCAGCCAGCACAACAGTGTCCGTGCCTCTTCTGTGGCGAAGGAGCTCGTTCAGTTGACGATAGAACTCGCATTTTACCGAGTCACCGCTACGGATTTTGGGTGCACAGGCAGTGATAGCGAATAGACATCTGTTGATCCCACGCGACTTCGAAGCTTTGAACGAGCCAGCCAATCGGACCGCACACATCCGGCTACTGATTGGAATCCAATCAAACAGAGCAGCTTCAGCCCGGGGACTCAGGACAATGCCAACACCAGCTTGGCCGGTGCTCAAAGCTGCATCGTCACCGGATAGGCGCAATGAGAAAGTACTGCTAGTGGCATCTGAAGGGGATCGCAGAGCACAGAACGCGAGTCTTGCAGGCGGGTCTGCGATAAGTAGCAGATATCGATCGACAGGGTCTCCAATGTTCGGACAAGTGCTGCCTATTGACCGATCTGTAGCAGTGTGTGTACATTGAGGTATGCCTTTCTGAAGGATGATTGAGGGCTTCAAATCGAAGTCGATGAACTGGGCTTGGTCGCTTGGTTGGGCATGGGCTTGTCGACAGGAGCGGAGTGGCGCTCCGCGTTAGCATGAGTTGAAATTAGAAGATAAACGCCTAGCAAAGCATGTTGGGGGAGGGCGAAGAATCGGGTGCTAAGAACTGGTGGGATAAAAGTGAAGTTGAAACAGGACCATGAGGGAGAAAAAGCGTAAGAGGGGGAATAAGAAGACGGGAAGGCTTGAGCAGTAGCATCCAAACCCCTATCCACCCTGCTCGATGCAGCAGATGGAGCACCGTTGATTATCC